CCCCCCCCCCCCCCCCCCCCCCCCAGCTCCACTTACACAAAAGGCAAAATGCAAGATGTGGTTTAAATACGACTGGTGAATGAAGTGTGCATCTCCCAGCCTGTTACCTGCCTTTATTACCATGTTCGTTAGAGCCAGTGAAAGATACCAGACAAGTGGCATCTAAACTTTAAAGATGTTTATCTATAGAGAGAGATCAGTGGTACATGGAAAAAAGCTGAACTCAAGGGGAGCTTCACCTGAATAAAGTATTTTTTCATCATGAACTGTGCCAACACAAACTTCCCATCCAGCTAGACTATAAACCCTGTACTGGTGAACTACCTTGTGGGGTGAGATGGGAGCTCCATCTCTGACCTTGGCCCTCTGGAGAAAGTTAACAAGGGAGCCCATGAAATCCAATTGTGAGTTTGCAAAAGAAAAAAAAAAATTCACCCCCCACTCACAATTGGACAGTACTCCCCCCCCCACAACCTCTTTCCCCTCAGCATAGGCTAGGGAACACTCCTCAGACCTCAAAACTGGAACTGAAACCACAGCCACAGAAGAGTTTGGTCAATGCTCCCACCCTGATTTCCATTTTTCTCTCCTCCTCCCACAAATCAAGATAAAGCAGCAGCCTTACCTGCGTGAAGATGTTTAGCCCAAGACCTCTGGAGTCCACAACAATCACAGTGAGGACAGTCTGAAGTGCCAGGGCAATGAAAGTATTGACCCCAAATACCAAGGCATACCGCTCCACACTTAGGTTTGTAGCAATCTGGAACCTGGGGGGAGGAGGAAAGAGTTGTAGAAATATGTTTAGGAGGCAGAGGAAAGGACTTTTCAGAATAGGGCAATGTTTAGACAAGCAAACTAGGTAGGTTGGAAAGCTCATCTATACATTGGATATTTCCATAGTCATCTTGCCTTACACTGCAGTCTTCTCACAAACCGAATAGGGTACTACCTAGCTAGTCTTGGAGTTCAAGTGACATGGGGAAAACTGAAGAGTTGTACAAAGTGTGGGAGTTCTCTAGGTTACACTCTTATCCAAGACAGCATTTAAGACTGAAGGTACTGAATTCCTGGGGGCACTCTATTGCCAGAAGGGCCTCATCTTTCAGAGAAGATGCAGCATACCCACTTTGCAGTCACAGAACTGCTCATAATCAAGTCAAGAAGGGACTTACAATGAGTATATCCTACTACACTCTAGTGAGGGTATTCCTTCATTTCCTGTTTACTGCATGGGGGTGCTGGGTTTAGCTGAACAGTTGCCTCTACAAGTAACAAATATTATATAAACACATTTTCCTGCTTACAAATCAGAGAACTTGTCTCCACTGCAGACAAAGCACTTGTCCCTCTTCTCTCCGATGCTTCAGTCTAACAATATTTATGGAAAAAGCATTCCCCTGGAAGACCGCACTACCCAGCACTTACAGACAAAGACTTTAGTGTTGCGAGACCTCTGTTCCACTCCTGGTTCTGACAAGGCAAACTGCCAGCAATTTAGTAAGTCAAATGCCACCCTGCCTCAGTCTCCCCATCTGAAGATACCAGCACACAGGGACTTTTGTACAGATCACTGAGATTCTTAGATATACAATATGTGAGCTATACTGTATGCCAGTTTCCAGGCATTCAAAATCCTGACTTTAAAAAAACTACTTACGTTGCTATTGTGATAAGCAGCATGTAGATAATTCTGAAGACCACGTACGACGCATAGCATATCCAGATGTTACGAACTATATCCATGATATAGACAGCAGCAGCAATAAGGAGGGAAAACAGGGCTAATGCTACTTCACCCCAGGTAGCCCACGGTATTTTTATGTAACCTACAGCAAACACTGCAACAGCTCCTATTAGCAGGATGAAAAGAGAAAGGATGTAATTTATTAACTATCACAATATTTTGTCATCCAGAGGCCTGGTTTAAATACTCCATGCATTAGACTGAGAGACACTGATGTGTAAACATGCCAGGCGTCCTGGAGAAATGCTCCACTGGCTGTATGTTTTAATGCTAGGCTTCACTCTAACAAGGCTGTAATAAAAAATGCTCCTCATTGGCTTATCTCAATTCACAATGAAATGAGTGGTATCAGCTAACAACTGTAATGAGAAAAGTTAAGCCAATGATTTGTGCTTTGGCAAAACTGACTTCAGCTCCACAAGGCTGCAGAGCTCCACGCCTCAACTCTTTCCACAGGTTCTCTTCTGCACATTTTTTCTAAGGCTAGCAGTTTTTTTCAGAGAGCCTGTTAAAAGGAAGTAGAAGCCCAGTTTGACACCTCTATCAAAAGGTGTCAAAGGCAGAGGGAGACAAGAGGATTATCAGTACATCATTGCCGCTGGGGGCTGAGTACAGCTTTCATGCTGCTCCAGTATACAGCAGGTAGAATTACACTTTGAAAAGGAGCTTGTTCTATAGACAAGCCAAGAAAGGCCCAACAGAGCCATCACAGACAGCAAGCCAAAATAGCAGCATGCTGACAAAGGGCAATTTATTGGTGATCACTGAAAGACAGGATTGCGTTCAAGACTTGTCCCAATCTTTGGGAGTCTGACAATAGTATTTAGATCCTATTTGTAACCCCCTGCAAGCCAACCTCTTCAAGAAGCCTTCTAGGCAGATCCACTGGCCTCCAACTTTCTACCAGGGGATTCACAGTTCCAAAGAACCCTAATGCAGGTGGGTCTCAACCTGTTTAGACTCAAGGCCCCCCTTGGAAAATGCCAGTTCTTAGTTTTCACTCATTTTTTGACTATGGAAAAACAACAATGCAGTTTTCCTGTTGCAATGGACTTGGACAACCCACAGCATGGCAGAATGTTTTGAACACTATAGATTCCTACTTGAAATTTCTGGGTTTATCTTGGGACTCATGCTTGCACACTTAACAGTGATAACATTGTGTGGCAACCCAGGACACCTTTGCAAAGGTTCTCAAGGCAACCCAGGGTATTGTGGCACGTTGGTTGAGAATCGCTGCCCTAATGCATCACTTTTCACACAGGATGAAATCCACAGAGTTGCAGGAAAGACTGTGGCTAGGTCAGTGCCCTTCCATGTACATCTGCACAAGTGCCCACTGTAACACGTCCACAATAGGCTTTCATTTTGGAAGTGTGCCACCACCATACCGGTGAGACCTTTCCCTACATGCAACAAGATGCTCCGTCTGTAGAACATCAAGTTACAATAAACCAGTGGCTTCAAAGCTGTGGCGGAGAAGGGGAAACCCACCGCCCCCACACTTTCTGGGGATTCAACTGACAACTCATGGAGTTTCACTCTCCTCCTTCCCCTTAGGAACATAGTTATGTCAGTGTAAACACAAAACCACAGCATGAGACACCACAGCTGACTCAACAGTTTCATATCTTAACCCACATGCCAGGCATTGCCAACTGCTTCAGGTGCATGTCTAGGCAACCAGTTAAAATGTATGGAAGATGGACTTATGCACAAAGGGGACCTAAAAAACTGAGATACACGTTAGTCATAAGACAAGCTGATTCTATTTAACTCCCTGAAGATTCTGCCTCAGCCACCATGGTCCTGCCTGGAGCTTGGGTTTGGGCACCAGAACCCCAGTACAAGGTAGAAAGGTGCCTGAAGCAAAGGAGAGAGAACAGGAGCTAGACAGGGAGGGAGAAACAACACGTGATCCTGTAATTAAAAGTTGGCTGACTCATGCACAGGAAGCAGATTTAAGGTTGCACAAGCAGCCTTTGTTTTGGCATCTCTTGAATTTGGAAGGCTTGACTTAGTGACCTTAATAACACTGGTTGTGTATGCCAGCTTTTACAGTCCTGGAGCCAAAACACCATGCTCAAAAGGAATCCAAAGAGAACATTTGCAGTCATTTTAAGTCTGCTCTGAATTGCAGCCCATGCTTGACAGCCCTCTAGGGTCATTTCCCTTTAAAATGACTACATATTTAGGAATAACTGGGCTCCAACACTGTTGTTACTACAGGGTCACTGCACTACAGGACCACAACTGCTTCCTGGGTGGACAACTAGTGATAACAAGGACTATAAGATCTGGAATTGTGACTAGGGTGTGCCAAGCTGAAGTGGCAGCCATTTAATACAGGCTGAACAAGAGGATGCACTAGGCAACTTTAGAGTTGGGAGTTAATTCAAGGCATTCTTGCCACAGAATGCCATTGGGATACCTAGGTCAGGGGTCAGCAAGGATCTAGCCTGTGGAACCACTGGATCTGGCCTGTGAACATGGGACTTCAGCAGGTGGGGGCTTCAGCTAGGGGTGCTCTTCCCATGTCACCATGGGGACAAGCATCAGCCACAGGAATTTTACCCATGCTGAACATGTGCCGCTGGCAGGCGAGTCCTAGTGCCCACCCGCATCTGACCTTGGGTAGGTCATTTCAGCCTGCAGCCAGAAAATGTTGCCTATTCCTAACCTATATTTCCCCATCAATATCCTCAGAAGTGGAGGGACTTTATCTGATAAGCAGAGATTTCCTAGAAAACCTATTGTACATTTTATAAGCTACCAAATGCAAACTTGTTTTCAACATTCAAGGAGCTAGGGAATCTGTTTGTATCCCAGTAATTCAAGTGTCTTCAGGACCAATCAATGGTAAGTCTGCCATGTTGAAGCCAAGTGAACCTTAACACCCGTGTCCACTCCAGTAACAAATACTATGCCTTTTTACAAAATATATTTTGCTCCAATCTTTCCCTGCCTGCTCTTTCAGAGGCATTCTTGACACGATTCAGGTTATCCAAGGAACATCTTTCCAATAATAGCAAGCCAACTAGAATTCTGGCTTGTATTTTGTAATCGCCTTCTTATGGAAAAGATTCATGACTTGAATGAACAATTAAAAAAAAAACTTCTACAATGGCACAGCAGTGTTCATACATAACCTAATGAAGGCCTTGAACTCATCCCACCCATCTTCTGACTTATATATGTGGGGGAGTTATCCTGATACTATATGAAAGTATTCTTAAAGTGAGCTGGAAATTTGCAAGTGTTTCACAAGGCCATATCAGTTACAATGAACTGCCAGCAAAACAGATGCAGAGTTTCACTGGAAACTTTCAAGTCAGCTTCCTTTGGCAGGTTCTTGAGGATACCACGGCTAGAATCCACGGCTCTAGCATCTGGAACAGCAGTTCCCAATCTTGGGGTTGTGACCCCATTTGGGGTTCACAATGATAAAAAATGGGGTCAAAAAGATGCTTGACAGTGTCAACTGATTATGATGAATACACTTCCTATTTATAAATATCCAGCTCTCACACCTGGCAGTTATTTGTCCACGCACAACCGCTGTAAAAATCAGTATGTTGATACTGGCTGGCTGAAATATGTTTGATATGACAGAGAAATCTAACATGGATGCTTTTCTCTGAAAAATTTCTGCCTGGAGTTCTAGCAGTAAAACTAATGACAAGGATGAGACCGAGAAATGAAAGGAGTGCAAGACACAAAAGCATTGTAATGCCATATTTAGGACTTGTTGATCTTGTCTACATCATTTTGGGGTCTCAAAAAACGTCCAGGGTTTAAATGGGGTCATGCTGAGGAAAAGGTTGGGAAGCCCTGATCTAGAGCCAGGAAGCGCAGAGCTTCTACACTTCCCATCACTCAGCTGAAAGCCTGGGAAACGCTCCTAAAATCCCAGATTGAACCCTGACTTCCCCTGGTTCCAGTCTCCCTGCCGCAGAGCTGGCAAGGCTTAGTTTCTGGTTCAGTGGCAGCTCCAAAGGCCAACAGCAAATCTGGAAGACTTAAGAGCTAAAGAGCATGGGTTCCCAAGCTCAAATTGGTTTCCAAATTGCTTAAAGAGAGCATCTTAATGGTTTTAAAACAAAAATAGCGTAAACATTTCCCAAAGGAAAATAAAAAAAAAAAATTCTGCTTTTTGCTGTTAAAAAAATCACCCCCACTCTCCTCAATAATCCACACGAACCTCCATTTGGGATCCTCACAGAATGGGACTTCCCAATATTAAAACAATTGCAACTGTTCTCTAGGCTTGCTTTGTTATCTGGCCAAGGCCAGTGGAGCATGCTGGTCTAGTGTTTAATGGAAAAGAACTGGCTTCTGTGGTCCTGTCTTTGGAGGTGGTGAGCAACCTTCACTCCCACTGTATTCCATGTAGGTGCTTAGTTACTTTCAGGGAAGGTGCAAAACAACAAATAATCAGTGTTTGTGCCTCACTTTTCCCCCACACAGGCTCTAAAAAGTATACACCTCATAAACAAGTGGAGAGGATTTGGAAATTTTCAAAACAGTTTAGACACAACACTTGGCTGGGATGGTTTAGTCAGGGATGATTCTGCCTTGAGCAGGGAGCTGGACTAGATGATCTTGTGAGATCCCTTCCAGCCCTACTTTCTTATGAGCCTATGAATTCAAGAATATGACAAAGCATGAAGGGTCCTTGCATTTAGAGCTTTTCTGATGGAGTGGATGGAGTGCTGAGCTGTCCTAACAATATCCCCACAGCCATGACATGAAACAGTCTGTTGGAGAGTTATACAAGACTAACCTACCTGGACCCACACAGTCAAGCAAGGACTGTGCACTGTATAGTTTCTGCTGCTGTCAGCAGGTTACAGGGCAGGCTGCTTTGAGGCTCATGTGTTTTGAAGGAATATACAGGAAGCGTTTTCCCAAAGACATTCAAAAATGACAATCCCTCCAACCAGGATCAAGGGACATTTATACACACGCTCTGGGTTGGAGGGAGGGGCGGGAGGGGAGATGCTCCAATTAAAGTGCCCGCAGCTTCATGTACTCAGCATCCTGCGCTTCAAAATGGCAGCATAGATGCTAGAACTAAAGCTTGTCTGACAAGTTTTAGTTAAAATACCCCCTGCCATTTTGAAGTGTGGGGACTCTGAATAGATGCAACACAGAGGCTGCTGGAGCAAGTTAATTAACACATGCCAGCAAACTTGTTTAATCCAGTCTGCTCTGATATGTGCTAAGTAGCATGCACTGGAGCAGATGTCTGGCACGTGTATACGTGCCCAAGCAGTCTAGCCAAAATAACCTCATCTGCATTTAAACCAGCACCTACAGGTACATAGGTGTTCCCATACCTGGAAAATTGCGTTGAATAATCCAATGATGCTACTGCTAGGGGAGGATCCCATAATATGTCACAGGTAGAAAGACCAGCTGTTTCAGTATTTCCAAACCTACCTCTTGCATTACAAAACCAGCTATGTAAGCAACAGAATCACAAGATACTATGTCTGAAATTCATCCAACAGCTATCTGGCATAGCACCAATCTAGATGAAAGTCTCCCACATGCACATGCTAGGGAATATTACAATTCTGTCAGAACTATGTTTCAGTAACTATGAGTTTGAGGATGTAACATGTAAGTCTCATTGGTTATGCATTTTTTTTATTGCCTTCTGAAATAGACAACTTACCTAAGAGTGTTGAAACAGCCTCTACACCACCATTATAGATCTCAGAGTTCTGAGCAGGAAGTACCATCTCCCATAGGCCCTGAGTGTAGTTTATTACTTGGAAGTAGCCACAGGTTGACAGTGCCCACCATACAGACCAACATAGCATAGGCCGAGAGGAATAGCACTGGAAGAAGTCCCGCCATAGCTCTTTGAGCACTATGACGATGTCCACTTTCTGCTCCTGAAGAGAAATAAGAAAAATTAAAGATCACACTTATTAAAACAGTTCATTTTATCCCTCAAGATTGCGCCTGACAGGGAGGGGACCAGTAGTAAGAAGTGCCAGATCAGTAAACCTGGACACCATTAGCCATCCTTACCATGTCCCCTCCCTTCCCTCCCAAGAGCGCTACCACTCCAAGCAGGAGAGCATCTGCCAAAATGAAGAAACAGGTTCATTCTCCATGGTCCATCCAATCTTTAGCTTCTCTGGTCAGAGGGCCAGTTGTCAGAAGAGGGAGAGTGTTCACTTCCTTACAGTGTAAAGAAAAACACTAGCTGTCAATAATTCATTTCAGAAAGGCAAAAGTCATATGCCAACTTTTGCAGGTTACCAGACTGGACTGAATTTGAGCCAAAGACCAAAAAGATAAGAAATTTAAGATCAACCACAGAAGTTCTTTCCAAGCACCAACAACATATTTGGAAGTTTTCTACAGAAATAGTATTCAGAGATTATGAACATCTAAGTTAATAATTCCCTTACATCACTTTAAGACCACTTAGAGTCACAACACTGTCACATAAACTAAGAACTCAACTGATAGGTTTTCTGGAGATCTGAAAACAGTGGAGAGTCTTGAGGATGGAGGTACAGGAAGCCTGTTCCACCAGATATCAACACTATGGTGAAGTTCTTGCACCCACCGTTTGAGTTGAAGGGAGGGATACAGAAATTCATGTTCTTTTCTCATGCAGCACCACTAGAATAGAATTGAGTGGAGCTGAACCAGAGTATTTTAACATACTATATAAATAGTCTTTTTAAATATATATTGAGATATAGATGTGTGTGTATTGTGTGTGCGTGTGCGTGTGTGAGACCATTGATTGATGTGTATGTATATACACACTACATACATACACACACACACACACACACACACACACAAGTGTGTGTACATTGATTGATGTGCATGTATATGCGCATGTATGTATATGTGCAGGTATATTATATAATTATTTTATTTCATTATTTATCATTTTATTTATATACATAAAAATAAATCAACATTCACATGGTTGGGAAGGGAAGAGGTTAAATTAAGAAGTTATCCTCAGATACTGATTAGTATACAAAAAGGAATTCTGTTCCCTACTGTCTTGGGTGAATGGAGATGACTAAATGCTGGCTTGTTTTGGACCCACACACAGTCTTTGCTAATAGCCACATCTAGCAGTACCTCCCAGAGGAGTCAGCAAAGTAGCAACTACATTGTACAAGACTCTCCCGAGTTCAAGACCACTAAGAGTTTCACTGGCATCACTAATTTTCTCTCCTAAATCCCACAGAGCAAATATACCCCTTCTGCATGGAACACGCTTCCTATGCCAGCTTATTCTCTTTCCTTCAAATCAAGGGGTAGTGGGTACCAGTATATATGCAGCACCTACATTAGGAGGGTTTGCAAGCATAGTTTAAACTAAAAAAAAACTGCTGGAATAGTTAAGTCTCAAGGGGCATTTTTACACTTGATCCAGGGACAAAAGGGGTGCTTTAGAGCGGCTCTAATTAAAGCACCCAGAGCATCTCATGTATTAGCTCCTTGAACGAGCTTTTACTAAAGTGTCCCTGCCACCATTTTGAAATGCAGAGACAATACACGAGACAGAGGCTGGCTGGAGTGTGGTAATTACCATGCTCCAGCAAACCTGATTAAATTGAGTCTGCTACAACGTGCTGCAATTACAGTGCTTCAAAGCAGCCTCCTGGCTCGAGTGCAGGCACCCAAGGACTACACATTTTTCTCCATCCTACACCTAGTACAATGGAACCCCAGTTCTCAGGTGACTGTCAGCAGCCACCAGCCTCCAAACAAGTAATAATCACATGTGCGGTATTTTAAATTGAGGTGACGCGGCATGCAAGTCAGGTAAACGAGCAGCTTCTTTGCCCCTCTCTCTTCTACCCCAAAAAGAGTCCAATACTCATGCAACAACATGCATTACCCACCAACTTATTATAGGAGATAATGAGTAACCAAACTGACATTAGTGGGACAATCAAGCTTCCTTAGCTGCTTCCTTCAGAGGAAAGAAAAGGGGAAAAGGCAGGGAAATGGCCCATCAGCTGGAAAGCATTTAAAAATGAGATGGTAGAGCCAGAGGCTGAAATGTGGATTGGGAATCTAAACAATGAAGGACAAACAGGTCACTGGGAAATGCTACAATTATTAAGATAAGAGATAAGGCCGAGGTGCCACAATGCAGTCCAGCATGTACGGCACTGGATTAGCAAGTGAGCACGGGTTCTGTTCCTAGCTCAGCCAACTGACTGGGTGTGACCCTGAGGTGCAAGCAGGTCATGAGACACAGCCTGTTTTCCCTTAATAAAACAGAGGCAATGCTCACCTACCTCATGTAGACCAGGAGATTGGAGGCTGAGTGATTTAAAATACGGAAATGGATAGTGCTAAAAACAGGCAAGGTAGTATCAACGTATTAGACATCTAAATAAGCAACTGGCTCTGAATTCATCCACTCAGATTTAGCCTCTCACAAGTAGGGCCCATTTGGGCAAAAGATGGAGCCGGGACCACAGGCCATGCCTAGCAATAGCCAGCAACACACTCTGCTAACTTGTTTTCAAAGCCAGATGTGAAGCTCGGCATCACTCTTCCTCCATGGCATTGCTTCAATACCTCAACACAAACATGTCCAGGCACATCAGCCTAGTCTGCACTGGGAGGGGGAAGGGTAAATGGATTATCAACATTCCACTATGAAAGAAAAACCCTCACAATCAAGTAACTTTATACTTATGCCAAGTAGACAGCAGCTATTCAAGTCACCAGTGCAAGAATGGGCTACAGCTATAAAGACCCCCTGCTTCAAGGCCATCTGTTGATACCTTACCAGCGTGACTCAACTTAACTCACAGGTCAAAAATGTTCAGGCTATGAACTGTGTGCACTCTAGAAAGTCTCTCCCTTGAGAAAAGCCATGGTCTCATTTCAAGGCCTCTCCCACTAAAAATCCTTAACAGCAATTTTCACCTACCTTGGCCTTAAGCCTTCTTTCCCTCCCTCATATAAAATGTCACTTGGTAAATACTAGATAGGAAATGAATTCCAGGTGCTCTGCCAGTTAGTTCAGTAGCTTTCTGACGTACTCGTTCTCTGCAAGGCTACAAACTCAGATACAGCAACTGAGAATAACAACAGGGTGGATGCTGTCACTATTCATGCCCCAAACAGAAGTACTAGATGGGGCACAGTCTCAGTTATAAGGAAACCTAGGAAACAGATCTCCGGGGAGGTGAAGCTCATTGGAGAAGATACATAGAGTCTGCAAAAGTCAACAGCCCCAGTCATTTCTTCAGGAGAGAGGAAGAAGCCTTCTGTGGCCAGTCAGGTTACACAATCTGATTGGCCATATGCTTAGTTTGCAAAACCAGCATTATACACCAAAGCTTAGCAAATTCTTAATTTCAGAACTACACACAGCTACAAACGGTTTAAGTCCCTAACGTAACAAGAGTTTCAGGTGACTGCAGTCTACATAAGAAAGAGAGAATAACCCCTGACAGATTTTAATTTATTCTTTATTTCAAATGTTCCACTCTTATTTAAAGGATCCTCCTCATCCTTACGTTATGTAGCACAGGAAAAAAGGGACGCTTCATTCTCACTAAACCTCTCAATTTTTAAGTAGTACAGGATGACAGGAGTTCCATGCTTACCTTCAATAATTATTCAGAGCCCTCAGCAAATATGTTATACTGTGCTCAGTGATACATTATACTCAGTCGCCTCAACATAGCCTTCCCTTCCAAGCAAGGGATTTCTAGAAGCAGTTACAATTATTGCTAAAAAGTCTAGGATGGTGCTGGTACTAGTGAAATGTGCAAGGGAAGGAGCCTCCTCTTGCTTGTATGTAAATAAGTGAACATCTGTGTAGAACTGGGGCTGCAGGAAGATGACCTTGGGCTGAAGGCCGGAGCATGCCTTTAAATCAGTGGGGGCTAACTCTTTTGGCAGGCATGCCTCAAATTAGCCCAAGTGCCATTCTGATCCCCTTCCTCAGTCCAATGTGCTCCTCTGACTTCTGTTTTCTTCTCACTTTCTGCTTCCTGCCCTGGGCTCTATCTCCTGCTCTGCCTGCTGCTCCTTGCCCAATCTGCTGCTGTGCTGCCTGTCCCCACCCTGATCTGCTCCATGCCACACAAAGAGGCTGCCTGCGCCACTTGTGGCACTCATGCCAGATTGGCTACCTCTCTTTTAGATCAAAAATCACTGGCTCAGTGATTGCTCAGTACCCCATTACTATCCTAACTCCATTCCTCCAAAACCAAAAACAGAAGGAAGACTGCCTCCATTTATGCTCGCTGGTTCTTCAAGTGGTCTCAGCAGAGGGTCTTGCAGAGCTGTGCTGGACAGGACAAGATGAGTGCACTGGAATATTAATAAGTTTAATTCCCAGCTGAAACCCAAGGAAGCATAAACCTTTCCAGCTAAGCTGAAGGCAGGTACTGCTATCCTCCCTCCAGTCTCTGCTAGCAATAAGTACTTAAAGAGAAGTGAAGAGAAATGTGGCTGGGGAGACAGACTGTGCCAGTATCTTCCTCATTCAGGCTTTCAAAAGCAATTAATGCTGTGTCTAGCCATTAAATAGCAGGAAGCAGGCAAGTAATAGTCCATTTGCCTTGAGCAAGCAGTTACCCTAGACTTAGACAAACAAAACTTAAACCAATGTTCACTTAAAACTCCACCAGTGTATTAGGGATATTCTGCCTTCTCCCCTTCCTCTCCTCCTGCACTGATAGAACACTAAGTGGAAAACTTGACAAAATCATGCCATTTTAAATACCCCTAAGTGCCTTTATCTGAAGGTGATATCAACAGTTCTTCCACCGATACAATCTCTTCCTGGTTATCTGAAGCAGTTACCTAGTTCATCTGCAACAGAAATTCTGCAGGTGTTATTTCGTAATAGGCTTTCAAAACCACAGGTTGCAACTGCCTTCTCTTTAACAGCTCATGGTACATTCAGACAGGACTTTAAGCACCCAGAATCTTCCCTGCTTCCCCCATTCAAGTGAGTGAATGACGACTTAAAAAAAAAAAGAAAAAAAAAAGAAAAAAAAAGCAAGTCTTAGAGGACAGTTTAATGCATCTGAATAACAGAAGGAATATGGGGTATTTATACACATACTTTTCTATCCCACGATGCACCAGATATCTGCCACTTCAGAGCAGACTCAATTAATTGAGTCTACTCTACACACAAGCTGATGCAAACTGCACTGTCGCTTACAGTTGTAAGTGGTGAAATGTATGTCAGCACACAGAAAATGGCGGCGTCGTGCTTTTGAACCAAAGCGCCTTTTATGTATTTTAATTCAAAAGCATGCTGCCGCCATTTTCTCAGTGCTGACATGCATTTTACCACTTATACAACTGTAAGCCACGCAGGGCCGGGCGCTTTTCAAAGTGCCTAGCACTGCAGCACTTACATGTGTAAAAATGCCCATGGGGACTACCATGCCATAGGACTGGAATGCAATTTCTGCTCCCTGAAGACTTGAAGGATTGGAAAGGGATACCTTTCCTTGTCAGCTACCCTGAGACAGCGCTCTTCATCTAAGGCAGACAGCTGTGGAAGTGGTTGTAGCTTTCGTTTTTCTTGACATAGTGCCTTACCTGCTTCTCTGCAGAATGGGCCTCCACATTTAAGGGAACTTCTGACTCATCTTCCCACCCAGGCACACTCTGTAATGCAGGATCATCTCGGACGACAGCTCCACTTTTACAGTCAATAACCTTCATTTCCCTAGCAACCTGGCTGCTTGAGAGGTGGTGAAAGAAAAGACTTTTCTGAGGCATTGGCAGAAACCAGGCAATGGCAAAAGCTACAGACACAGATGTTAGGGAGATGACATTCAAGCTGAACAGGGACCAGTTGAACACCGATACCAGAACCTGTCCAGAGACGGAACCCACAGTATAACCCACCAAGGTGGCACTTCGACAGTAACTGGTGACTTTCTGGTACACATTCAAATCCACAATGCTATAAATATAGGAAAAATAAGCAATCTCTGTAGCAGTCACCACTCCATAGAAGAACTCCAGGAACTGAATAGCCAATAGTCCTTTGGCATAGAGCAGCATGAACCAAGTCACAATAAGGCTCAGTCCCTGTAGAAGGATTACAGGTTTGTACCGGAGATAGTCTGTTGCAAGAAATACTGGAAATAGCAGCACTAAATAAGAGTACGTCCATACTGGATAGATTTCATTAAAGACCTGTAAGGAGGGGGAAAAAAACCACCATTAATTATCCACTTGAGTATGTTATTTTTTGTAAAAGGTTCAAAGTAATTTTATATTTTTCCTAGAGGCTGGAATCTAAGAAAGATCTGCTACAATGGTCTCCCACTAATACCAACAAGTGGTCCCTACCACCTGCTGGACAAAATCTCTCCTCCTCCTCTCCTCATTAATCTTGGAAAGGGAGCCTGCCAGGGACCACAGCCTGCTTTGCAAGTTTAGAACCAAGTGTGAACTCTGTACAGGTTGTCATCATACCACACAACTTTCAAGGGCTTTAGAGGCAGAATTATTTCCTTGGATTACTCAACTGTAACCAGAGTGCTATGTAAACATTTAAGTACTGCCTGTTGCTTTCCACCTGTACATCTCAGAGTACTTCACTTAAGTGAAGATGTCAGCATGCATTTCTGCAAAAGGAGAAACTGACCCCCGCCCCCAGCCCAGTCTCAACCCCAGAAATTACCAAAGCTACTCAGCAGTAGAACTGGGAAC